TTGAGTAGAAAAACCACCATATTATTATATAAAAAAATTAGTAATGGCAAGAAATTTGTCTAATTTTTTTAGCAACAATTAATAGTAAATTATAAATACTACTTTAATATTTGATTCACACAATCTATTTTTTCATAAATTCGAGGTTAAAAACTAAAGATAAGTTGATATCAACCTTAAAAAAATTAAAAAGTGACTTTTAAAATCTTAATACAAAGTGAGGTCCCAAATCAAATATAATATCATTTAAAAATCTATGATATTATTAGATATTATCAAATAAAAAATAAAAAATAAAAAATTATATCCACACTCATATTAATTATTATAAAAAATATAAAATATAAAATATTGATAATTTAATCTACCATTTTGAAAATAAAGTCATAAAAATTAAAGACTAAAAGATCTATAATAAAATACATTGAAGCAAATGATTAAAGTTGTTTTGAAATAGGTAGAAGTTGAAAAATTAATAACATAGAATCTTAACTCTAGAATATGCATCAAATTTTAAAATAATTGTTTTATATCTTTTAGATTTGAATATACCAAAACTCTCTTTAAACATGGTCCAAAAATTTTTATATAAAAAATATCTTATTATTGGAAAGTCATGTTGTACTTACAGTTCACATAATTATGCTTCACCTTTAGAATATATTAATGTTTTTTTGTTATATATATATATATATATATATATATATATATAATTTAATTAAAATTGAAGAAGAAAATTACTTTTAAAAACAAAAATAAAAGCTATAAAGGTAGTAAAAATAATTTAGTATTAATATCCTTTTTTTGTAAAAATGACTTCTACATACTTTATAGAACCATAAGCAAGAAAAAATAAAATAAGTTAAAAAAAATAATAATATAAACATCTTTAGGTAAATATAAGGAATTTCTTTAAGCAAAAATTATATAGAAAAATATTAGATTAATACTAAAATATGATTTGCTTGGTAGATTGAAATGATTTTTTTGTATGTTGATAGTTGAATTTTTTTGAACATACTGTAAATTTTTTGAGAGCATTTTTTTAGTTCAAAAGAAAACTAATGATACTGAAGGTTGGCATCAAAGTTGGACAAGGAGGACAACTAAGACCTTTACAAATTAGAAGCATTTTCTTCTAGTATGTAAGTTCAATTCTCTCTAAATTCTATGTCTATATTATTAATTATTTGGTTTAAAAGAATAAATTTTTTTAATCAATATCAAAATGTACATAGATTATTATTGTGATTTTAAATTTGCTATAGAATTATTTAGGATTTAATTAAGATTAATTAGAATTTAATTAAGGTTCAATTAAAATATACTTAAAATTACTTTAGAATTTATTAGAATTTGATTATGATTTATTATGATTTTTTAAAGATTTCCTTTAGATTCTTTCAGGATTGACTAAGATTCTTTTAAATTTTAATTAAGAATGTTAAGGATTATTTAAGGTCTATTTAGAGTTGATTAAAGTGTGATAGGATTTTACTAGGATTTTTTTAAGATTGATAAGGAATATTCAATATAATTAGAAGCTTACTTAAGTTGTTTAAGGATGCCAAGAAGGTGTTACTAAATATCTTATGTATTGATTTTGGATTGTAAATCCAACTTCAAGATAAGATCAAACACTTCTACAATTAAATGCATGATGTATTTTCAAGCCAATTTTCACATAACACAACAATGTCTCTTGCAGTATAGAAGATTTTTTTTAAAATTCAGATTTAATAGAATCATCATTGAGTTTAATTTATACATGAAGAACAAGAGGCTATGTTTACATATTTAAAAAAAAAAAAAAAAAAAAAAAAAAAAAAAAATCTTTAAGAAAAATAGTGTTAATTAGAATTAATGTATTATTAGCTAAAAAGTGTACTTACTTTAGTTCTAAAAGGAAAACATCTCATTTATTATTTACAATATCTTTCACTATTAGTATAAGATAAGAATGTCTAGATAAAACATTTGACAAGCCTTGTTGTTTTCAAGGACAATATATAGTATTAAATACAAAATGTAATAAAGACGTGTTTCAACTTGTTTTATAATAATTTAAGATACACATTGATATGATTTATTTAAAATTCTTAAATTTAGAATAAACCAAAATTTGATAATAAATATTTATAATTAAATTTTCTATTTTTAGAATAAATCTATAATAATTAGAAGTTTTTTATTGTAAAACTTATATTTAATCTCTATTTTTTAGAAATTTCTTAAATAAAAGGAAAAAAGGTGAAGTCTATTAAATGCATCTATTTATAATAAGATTATACTTAATATAAAATTTGATGCATTTATTTCATCAATAATAAAATTTTAAAAATCTATGCATCATAAAATATGGATTGAGGTTTTAAAAGAAAAATTAAACCTTCAAATATTGCTCTATATCTTTAATCTATTTAAATTCTTTTAAAACAATTATTCATGAAAATAAAGTAGCAACATGAAAAAAATATATTCTAAATTTTTAATATACATTTATAATATGTACTAAATTCTATATTTCTTGTATATTTATATTAGCATAGATCTTAGCTTTATCTACTTGATCAAGAACTTCCAAAATCAAAGACAATGGATAATAATTTTTGTGGTCAATTTTTTGAGCCTACAATAATCTATACATATTTGTAACGATGAATTTATTTTTCTTTATAGAGATAACTGGTGTATTTGTTGAAGATTTTGAATTTCTAACAAAAATTGCAAAATTTTTGTGAATGTATTTCTTCAAAAAATTAAATTATTTTTCAAAAAGCTATAATTTAGTTTAAAAGATAATTGAGTTCTTTCTTGAAGATTAATTGCACAATTATAAGGTTGGTGTTTTGGCAATATTTTAGCATTTTTCTTCTAAAAGACATCTTGGTATATTTTAATTTATTTTGAGATTCTACCAAAACAATTATATGAATAAAGACTTTGTGCTATATAAGTAATAAATGTATTTCTTTCTTTTGCAACTTTCATAAATATTTTAGATTCAATAAATAAAGATCTCAATGATTTGCTGGCATGTAGAATAAATCTTAGAGTGACCTTTTATAGTTTTTGATCGATATTAGAATTAAATAATTTAAATTTGGAAAGACCAAGTAATACTAGATATTAAAAATATTAAATTATATTAAAAAGTTATTGGATTTTTTATTTTATATTGCCACTCTTAATGATTTGGTTTCTTCTATAACTTCTCTAGATATAAGAGATTATCTATCAATAACTCCTATTGGAGTTGATTTGATCTCTTTTGATAGTTATGATCGAGAGTTATTCAATTGCAATGTTCCTACAACAATCCGAAATCTTTGTTTTTTAATTTTTTCATATTTAAATTTTTAATCCTTAATTTAATTCTTATTATCTATATGACTTATTTTTCTACAATATAAATTCAAGTAATAATAGCATTTGTCTTTTTCTTTTAATATTAATTCCTTAAATTGAATTATATCAATCTATACAAGTTTTTGAGAATTTAAGAGTTGTTATTACTTGATTTGTTCTTTTTCAATCAAATCTTTGTTTGTATTGCCTTTTAAAGAATCAATTGTCACATAAAATTATATAAATAATAAATTATTCTAATAAATTAACTTTAACATTAAAAACAATAGATAATTGATATTATCTTTCAAACCATATCTAAATTAATTGATAAAAGCCTTATTGTTCCAATTCATATAACATGCAAATGTTTAGAATTTGAAAGAATAGATATTAATTACATGTGATTCTAGATGCAAAGATTAGAATTTTGTTAGTATTATCTTTTTTGAATTGTTCTTCCAAAATATGATTGTAAATATTTCTAAATAGAATTTTAGATTATAAAAGAGTAAAATTTTTCTCTATTAAAGATCTAAACCAAAAAAAATAACACTTTTACATATAAATATTTTTATAAATCTTACTTAAGTGATTTTGTTATGATATTAAGAAAGATGAAATCTTTAAAAAAAAACATTAATATATTATAAAAATCTTTAAAATATTTATCTTATTTTAATAAACTCATCTCACATAATAATCTTTAATTCTTTCATGTTTTTAGTAGCAAGATTTTTTGGATTCATTTGCAAAGTTAATCTACATGTACTTGCTTCTTTCAATTAAACAACTTCTTAGCATAAATGTTAAAATTTATTATTGACTTTTTCTTTAGGCGTAGAAATAATGCTTTTATGATTAAATCTACTAATAATAGATATTTCACTTAAAGAATATTAAAATTATTTGCAGTAATTGCAAATTTATTATTCCTTCTGTAAAAGAAAGCATTAATATTTTTTTTTTCTTCAATCTAATTTAAAATGAATAATAAATTTTCTAATTCAATTTAATAGAAGATAATCTATAACTTCTAATATTAAATAAAAATTTCCACAAAGAAGCATATGCCACTCTATTTTCTTTAGATAATTTTAAAATGAAAAAATTAGTTTAAAGCTGAATGTTCCATAATCTTAAAAAAATCAAATATTTTTAAAAAAAAGTGGAATAATCCACTTTCTTTTTAAATAAAAATAATTATCTTAAGAGATTAGAGAATATTGAACCAAGACTAAAACAATAATAAGGTACTGACAAGACTCAAAATGATATGTATCTTACTTCTATATCTACTAGTTACAAAGAAGATCTTACAGCTTATGTATCAAGTTACAGGTTAATATTAATAAAACTTTCTAAAAGTAAAAATTTCTAAAAAAAAATTAATAATTATGTGGCATATCAATAAAAGTCTAAATATCTCATTTACATCTAAAAAACTTTCTTCAAACTACTTAAAGATGATGTTTTCTTTCTAACATATTTTTATCTATTTTTACTTACTTCTATTTATTACTATTTATTTAAGTAATAAAAAATATGTTATATTTATCTTCTAAAACTTGGATAATATAAGAGATTTTTTTATTATATATATGTATGTATGTATGTATGTATGTATATACATATATGTATGTACATATAAGTAGAAATAAATAGGAACCTGCTAAGTAACTAATATTTTCTTTAAAAAAAAATAACAAAGTTTCTTAAATATAGATGGGATATTTAGATGCATATAGATATGTCACAAAGCAATTAAAAAAATATTCTAAAAGTTCCTTACTTTTAAGAAGTATTGGAAGCAACCTACAACACAACACTTAGGCCAAAAGCCTCTTAGTCTTTGACAAGCTTTTATAAGACCTTCTAGGTAGTCAATAGACATGTACGAAAACTAAATAAATAAATAAACGTTCGTTTCAGTTGTAGCCCCAATGGCGGTAAGCAAGGAATGGACTGATCGATCATCCACCAAAGCATAGGAGCAATCCGATCTAAGCCAATCCGATCCCATCCAATCTCATCCAAAGCCCCCCTTTTCCCGTGAATCCAACCCAATGCAATGCAAGCAGGAGGACGAGGACGAAGCCAAACTTCGGCGCTTGCTTGCCAAGTCGGATCGAAGGGGCACGAGCCCTAAACACACGCGGTCATAGATAACCGTGCTCCATCTCCACCACCTCCTTTGATTATGCACCCTATTCAGCACAAACCCTACTAATTACAGAAAATGAAGGGAAAGGCTTCTCATGCTAGTAATCTAGGCGTAGGAAGGGAAAGAAAAAGAAGAAGAAGAAGACAGTCCTAAAAGGCGCAACAGCAAAAAACCACCTTCCCTCCTCCTCTTCCGCATCCTCAGCAACGGCTGTCCTGACGCAACACCATTCCTTCTTCATCTCCTCCTCCGCCTCCTCCTCCAAACTTTTTCTTCGTCGTCTTCTTCTTTGTCTTCGGCTTGTGAATCGTCTCTCCGGATTTCCTTTCAACTGGCGCAGATGGGATGAAACCCAATTTCAGGACGGAGCGCAGGACGTGTGTTCTCCCAGCCTTCATTTAGCACGTCACTTTTCGATGTTCGAACCCGGGTCTCGCCCACTCCACCTGGTCCCACACGGCTCTCGATTAGAACTTCCCAGGTAGAGCAAGATCCCCATTGGCTGTTGCCTTCCGAATGCGGCTTCTGATCTCGACCGTCGGATAACGATCTAGCCCCTGCCCTTGGGTGCGTGCTATGGTGGGTCCATCTATTATTATCACCCTAAGTGACTTCTATATAAATATATTTATATTTATATATTTATATGAGTCTGTGTATGTTTATTTATATATATCATACCCAATCTCTCTTTCTCTTTGGCTGCCAGGAGGGATTCAAAGCGTCCTCGTTCGAGGCAGCTTTGAGATCTGAGCTCCACATTCATTGTCTCTCTGCCCCCCCCCTATGAGCCCCCCCCCCCTGTCGACTTTATTTGTATTCATATTTATACATACATGTATGTTTCACTACTTTGTATCATGTGTTCGAAGTCTACAATTATGAAACATCTGGCTAGTTTTATCATGTGTGGAAGATTTGGTGAATTGTGAATGTGCGTATATGTGGATTGATCCCAATGTTTGGACTTGTGAACTATGTTCCTGGTCCCCAGATTTGAACTACATTTTGCCTTGATTTTGTCAACGTAACTATTTGGTTGTGTGTTTGATTAACAAAAGAAGTGATTGTTGTTTTTTAATCTAAGATTGGTGTTTTTTAATCTAAGATTGGTGAATTTGAAGGATAAGTGCACTTAAGAAAATAACATAGAATGTGTTGGAAGCTAAGAAAACATGTGTGGGGGTTGTAACAAAGAGCATTTCAAGCTAACAGAAAAAACTATATATATATATATATATGTGTGTGTGTGTGTATACACACTTACCCTAACAACAAAATACAAATAAAATAAAATCAAAGGTGAAGAGGGAGTGCAAGAAGATCTATGAATTACTTTTCTATGTAGTAGTTAATTAAGAAACCAAGAAAATGACAACATAATATGCCATAATTGTTCATTCGTCCACTAATTATTTCCTTACATGTAAATTATACATTCATTCAATTCTTATAGTATGATTCAATTGTAAAAACTAAATCTTTAATTCAACTATCTCAGAAGACAAGACAGTTGGTATAAAAAAATACAAGATTCTTATGTTTTTTTATTAAATTATATCTTTACTTAAATCCAATACTCACTCACAGTGAATATATATATATATATATATATATATACGTATATATAAAAGATCCACTGTATCCATACTAGGATTTGTTCTTAAAATCTTCATGTGTATGTATGTGTAAACAATAAATAATCAAATGATTGATACTCATTGGAAAAGTGTAATTTGTAAATTTTTCTTCATTACAGTATTTGGTTGTTGTATGTATTAGTTTTAATCACAGAAACTCAATCATAGACAACTTATGGAATGGATTATTTTCACATGCATAACAGGCACCATAGATTCAATATCCATTACTACTTAATTATTCAAATGATATTTTAACTATTAGGATACTAATAAATCTTTGATATTTAAGTTTATGTTGTCAAACTTCAGCTTACAATTCATATACATTCCTTGCCATTTATTTAAATTTTCGTTTTAATTTTTGATACCATTCATTTTGGCTAGTCTACCTAAGTCTAATCTCATAAAATGAAATAGCATGTAGAGTTGAAATACTATGAAATAATGTTGTTGGATGGATGGTATAGATGTTTGTTACACCTTTGGATGGTTGAGAATCAATAGATGGGTATTTGGTTTTTCCATCATTGCAAATCAATATTGCACAACAACATGCATTTAAAGAAGAAAACAAAATTGGTGAAGTAATTTTAGGCAGTCAAAACACCTTGTACATAATATTAATGGCTCTCTATACTACTAATGTTCATGTTTGTAAGTTATGTGAAAAAAAATTCATGTAAAGCACTGGACAACTATAACAAAAAAACAAAAAAAAAACAATGCAACAGTCTCAGTGCCAATATAGTTATTGTGTAGTTTACAATAGAGGACAAACAAAGTTAATGATCCAAACCATTGATTTTGAAACTAAGAAATAGTAATACTAATAAACGAGTAAATCATAAGCATGTGGTTTTACCAAAGTAAGTAACAATTTGCAATGTGAGGAGAAAGATGCAAGTTAAATATAAGATGATATATGCTAATTTGTTTGGTACTCTGTAATACAATGGCTATTTATTTTTAAAATAAGCTTTTTTCTTCTCCAAGGGATTGTCATCTGATATTTGTTATATTTTTTCAAAGAATGAACAAATGGCCCACTTGCCTTTTTATGGGATGTTTGAATCTGGTTAACTATCTTGATCTTTAATTCCTCCTCAAAAATTTCTCATTCTTGGTGTATGTAAGTTTTACCATATCCACATCATGTAGTCCATTGTCATCATTTGTGAATGTTTAATGCAAGTGAACTTGTGTATCACTATGATAATAATTCTTTTGATATAACTAATCCCACATGAAAGAAATGTTTTCTGACATATGTAAGATTTCTGTACATAGTCTCATTTATATTTAAGTCAAGGAAAGTCAAGTTGACCCAACACTTTTTCCAACAGTAGATTTAAGAGAAAAAAAAACATTGATATACATTAAATAAAATAAATAATAAATAAAACCAATTAAACAAAGAAGTCATGGAACAATCTGCCAAATGCAATACATAAAAAAAAGTTTGGTTTGACACTCTAGTAAATTATATATTTATATACAAATGCACACAATAAAAAGTGCTCAAGTCCATGAATTAAAGTCATCCTATTTTGTTGTCAAAAAATCTGAGATGTTCCCTTCACTTCAAGCAGACCATGTGCTTCATCTTTGTAGAGCAAAGACTTTTGAGACAAAGAGAAGAAGTTTGAAAAACAGGAAAAAAGGAATAAGAAGAAGAACAAAGTAAAGTTAAGTCAGGGACTATATTATTGTATTTTCTATTTGTTGATAGGGGTTGGATGACTTTATTTATATTATTCACTTTATTGGGAAACCCACTCATGAATAGTAAACATGAAATAGAGTTTATTCCGAGAACCACACTTTTGGTTTAATCTCAGGGGTTGTAAGCTTTGTACCCGACCAGGAGAACCTCAAGTTTGCTACTACAATACCCATTTTCAACCTTTAAATGGGTAGTCACTCCCATCATCCATATAATATTCTAGGTTGGCCACACCGTCCTAGAGCTGACCTTCCTTCTATTTCATCCTTTCAATTAATATTGTTTATATATATATTTTATTTATTTATTTATTTATTGATCTTGGATAAAGTTCCAACACCATATGATTCAAAGCATGATACTCTCATCACTATTTCAATGCAAGAATTAAAATCATCCCTTCATTTTTCTTCTTTTATTAAAAAAACACATGACAGTATTGCAATGGTGTACCTTTGCATGGAATTTAGGATATTTGGGATAATGTGGCACTTACTTCCAAATCATTGCAGCAAAGTGATGGATCCCAACCTTGCCTTTAAAATAAAATGAAATAAAAAACAAACAGACAAAAAATTTAAAAATTAATGAAAAAATGCAAAATGTAGAATCTCAAGGTAAACATTGACCATGCACAGTTGTGAGCCACAACATTTGGGGTGTCACAGGTGATGATTTTGTGAGCATGGGTGAAAGACAATTTTGCATCTTAAAAAACCAAATGGATGGGCTCTACAATAATAATAAAATAAAAATAAAAATAAACTGTAATGTACTTGTTCACATGTTATTATCAAAATATGTCATAGTTTTCTGTTTACTTGTATTGTTGACTTGCTAAACCTGCCAGGGCTTTTAGGGTTCTTTTATGAGTTAATCAGGAGTTTTAGTGTGCAGCCCAATAATGAGGAGAATATTTCCCAAGCCCACATTTTGCCAAATAGGATGTGCTTATGTGCTTCACCTGTTCTTCTGTGTATTATGTCCTGATTGACTTACAACCATTTTGATCCATGTTGGTATATGTTTGCAGCGTTTTTACTATTTGTGGTTTTGTTGGGAGTTTTATAAAGCAGCCCATGAAGTTGGAAATACATGCTTGACTAAGTTTTGGAGTTGGATTGCTAAGAAGGGAATGTGACTGATGCTCGTAAAAGTTCCCCAGCCGAGCTCACAAGTGAATGTCAAAGACTCCTTTTAATTTTTTATTAATTGGCATATTGATTTGTGAGTATTTTACCATCTCTTTCTCTCTCTCTCTCACCATCATCTTCCATGATAGTAAACCATTGTGGTAAGTTTGTTGGAAAGTGAATGGAACAACAATCTTGTGTGGAACTGTCTCATAAGCTTGGCACCCCTAATAACCCATGTGTGGTGTTTCTTTTCTTTTGTTTCCTCCTTGTATCCCTTGTGGAATGATGGACCACTGTGGTAGACTATGCATTCAAATTCATAGAAATTGCACTTGACAACAAAAAAAGAAAAAAAAAAAAGCTGACAAGAGCAGGGGCGACAATGTCAGAGCATCCGCACCGGTTGGCGCCAACGCTCGCGCCATCCCGGTGGATGGCGTGGCGGCATGGCATACGGGCCAAGGCGACCCCCACCCGTTGGCGCCAATGGGGCGGCAGAAGAGGGGGGTGAGAGTGGGCCCAGGTGGAGCCGGGCCTGGCCTCTACCGACCACAAGAAGGGGTAGTCGGTATAAGCAAGGCCCGGCGCCACGTGGCAGTCCCAGAAGGGCTACCGTATGGGCCCCACTGCAAGGACGGGTCCGGTCAAACCAGGTTGTTTGCAGGGCAGGCTGGCGGCCAAACGCCCAAATCGGGCGTCGCCGTTCTCTCCCCCGCCCTCGAGCCGCTGTTGGCGGGGAACTTTTTTGGGGGGAGGGATCGTGGCCGCCCGATGGCGCGAGCGTTGGCGCCACCGGTGGCCATGCTCTGAGGAATCCGTTCCAAGATCTAACAGATATCAATGAAGAAGAGAAATCTCAAACCCGCAAACTGAAAAGTGCTGTTGTATTTCGAAAGCATCGCTTGTACGAGGTTTGGGTTTGGTCTCACAACCCAGGTTGATGGGATTGATTGAATTGTGGCCCCCATTGGTGAAGCGGGCAACCAGAATCCAACCCCCCATTTCTATTTCCTCTCCTCTTAAGAAGAAGCTTTTTAATGTACTCATGGTCAAGCAAGCAGAGCATCTTGCCTTCATTCGGGAACCAGCACAGCACCGAACGAACGTTCACCCCCCCCCCACGCGGCGTCAGACAGCTGCCTCTTCTTCCCATGTTCATAAGTGGGTTCCACTCCTATGACCACACCATACCCCAAAACCGCGTACCGACATGCCTGCCCCTGCTGCCCTTAAATAAACCCAAAAGCTTCGCAATAGGTGCTGCCCGATTCTCCGGGCTGCCCGCCATAATTCTCTCGAGTCTACGTGTGGGGTACATGATCTAGCCCATACGGCGACTTGTGCAGGCAGGCATCTAGTCAGCCGCTTCTGCTCATATCCGATGTCTTCAAAGCCCATTTTTCATGGTTCTTCGTTTCTCTGTCCCCACCTCTCTGGTTTCAGAAGATCTGCCATAGAATTGGGTGCCTGTTCATATTGGATGTAAGTGAATAGTGCAATTCATTCATTCATTATCATATCTCCAATGTCACAATCCTTCCTTTTGTTTAAAAGAATATAAAATCGTACACGTTGTGTAAAACAATGTACACATTGTACGATACATCACATTATACTTTGTAAGTTTTGGGGAGAAAATTACTAAAATCCTTCAGGATGTACGAAGACTAGTGCCTTACGTTGATGATTTCACTGACCATTTAGTGTTTCATGTTTCAGTATCTTGCTCTTCAGTGAGTGATAATTGATGCTGGAGTAGTAGGTTTGCTAGAAGCTGTTTATATGGTTTTTCTTTTCTTTTTTTCTGTTTTTAAAAACTGTCTCGTTGAAATATCGACACATGGAAAACAGAAAATAATTCCGAGTTTTAGTTGAAGTGCCTAAATGGATGGATGAGTGCACATACACTAGTGGTAAACAAACTTTATTTTTTTATTTTTACATAATATGTGTATTTTTATTTATTCATCACTACTTTAGATGCGTTGATAATATTCTATCAGTAATTGTATTATTCTTTTTTATTTTTATTTTTTCATTTCAGAGCAACATGATTTAACCGATTCTAAGATACAAAACTCTGTAACGACGAAAAATCACCGTTGAGAACATTTATTTAATTACCGTGTTTTGATGAACAATGGACGTCCATTTGGAAACATCCATCAAAGCAATCTTTCCCCACTATATACATCTTCAAATATCTCATTACATAATATATTTAAGTTTCTTTCCTGCACTGAACTTGGCTGTTGGTTGCACTAATTGCATGCACATCATCCAGTAAAACGGTGGACATGATTCTTCAAAGCATCATCTCAGTTCAGAGATGTCAGAAAGAAATCAATAAGAATCTTCGCCTCCTCCCCCCGAGTGAAAAAAAAATATGACCATAGTGAACATCACTGAAATAGACGTGCCTACTGAGTAATAATGTGTCGAGGTGAAAAAGCTTGTCAAGAGCGGAATTCCAGTCAGAACATGCTCACCACTGCCTTCATTCGAGGGGTCTTCTAGACATGGGCAGTTAAGGGACATGGCGCGCAAACACACGTACTCACTCACTCTCCCCACCCATGAGAAAAGTGGACGTGCCATTCATTATTCATTCCCTCTCCTCCGAGCCTCATCCCCGATGTCTCTTCTGAGGAGGCCCGCACAATTCAAACAGGATGGAGGAGGGAGCATGCAACGGCGTGGGCATTTTTGTAGTTGTTGTTGTTCTGGCTAACTGGATCCTGTCCATGTGGACCCCAGAAAGAAGGGAAGTGAGGTGGGGGTGGGGCTGTGGCGGTCTCGGAGGAGGAGGAGGAGGATTGCGGAGGTGGCAAGGAGGGAGGGTCTGACAGAGTTGCAGCAGGTACATTGGGATCACACCACCATTCAATGTCTGCGCTCTATGTTTGGCTTTTAGATCTAGCGCCCACCCTCTCACCCATGTTCCGCCTCCTCCCTCTCATGTTCGACGCGTTGGAAAAAAAAAAAAGAAAAAAAAAAGAAAAAAAAGAAGAAAAAACAGCCCACCTCCAAACGGGAGAGATAGCGAGAGAGCGAGAGACTGTACCGATTCGTTCATCCATTTTTATATTTTTCTATTTTTATAAATATATTATTCTCCTCATGTTTGCATCCACTTTCATCTAAATGACTATTTGGGTGTTTGGAATTGGTGTCAACGCAGCATTTTTGTATCCTCTGCGGAGTGGGGTACCTTTGGCCATATTTCATCACCCTGCCAAGTTGTGATTTCCTTTCATTAATTTTGTTGTTGTAGTTATAATTACTACTGATTGGTCCATGCTGCCTTTTGAAAAATAAATTATGTTCTTGCCCTAGAGATAAAATATTGACATTTTTTTCTTAATACTTGATATGGTTTTTACAGAAGAAGTGGGAAATTTTCAAAATACCAAACTAAACCCATTCCATTTTTGTATAATAATCATAATCGACTGAAAATTGGATGTTTTTGGTATGTAAAATAAATAAATAAATAAATAAAAACCCTGCAGTGAAATCCTATTATACCATTTTTACTTTAAATGCATGCAACAAACGGGGAGGATGTTCTCTACGTTTGAACATCGATTGCAGACTCGTCAACATAAATGAATAAATGGGTACCATTATAAAAGTTATTAACATTGTTGTTGTCATCGTTCCACGAAGACGATGGCATGTTTGACGAGTGCGATGGATTTATCGTTGAGTTTCCTCCTCTGACCCATCAGGCATCTTCAGTGAGGACGTCGCATATCCCCAAAAGCAAGAGCCAGCGGAGATGGACGAGAGAGAGATACGTGAGAATGGAAGTAAGACTCTCAAAATGGGTAGGCAAGGTCTCCCTGGGCGCCGCTCAAGGCACAAAAAGGAGGCCGCCACCACAACCACCACGAGGGGGACCATGGCCTCTTTTTCTCCTCCTTATGCTTCTCCTTCGTCTTCGTCTTCTGCTTCTGCTTCTCTTCTCTCAGGCTATTTTAGGGCCTCGGCGCTTCGCCGGCGCCTTGCAGTGTGGCAGAGCAGGCTTTTCTATCTATCTCTGCCACGATTCTCGACCTTCTCTGACAGACGTTCGATTTCACACCCTGGATCTCCTCTCTCCCTCTTTCTCACTCGCGCGCTTTGTGTCTCCCTCAACTGGCTGTGTCTCTCTCTCGCCAGCTCGTACTTATCCCTCGTCGTCTCGCACCCTCAAAGGATATATTCTCGCTGCATTCGCTTCCACCATTCTCGCTCCGCTAATTCCAGTCTCCGTGCACCACTTTCCCTTTTGTACCACATTTTCGTTCTTCATTCCCACCTATTGAACACACCCTGTGTACCCATTCGAAGAGTACAGTGTATCATCCCCCCCATCACCCTAACAAAAAAACAAAGACGATGATAAAATAATCTTTTACTCAAACAAGAGCTGACAGGAGTAGAATCTTATACAGAAACTGGTTTAGGGTACACACGTGGGTTGTATTCATCTCCTACCACTCAATCCATTGCTGAATAAATCAATGAAGTGTGTACATGAGATGAAGAGCATGGAATGCAAAATATATGACAATTCTTCACTACGCCTGAGCTCACACTTTTTTTTCGTAATAGTAATGTTTAGCACAAGTCTTATCTTCTTCTTGAAATGATCCCTTTCCAAGTTTCGTCTTTCTTCCAACATATCTCACATTCTGTACATGAAACTGCATCATGGTTTTCAAGGGGGCCTACTGGAGATGATAACCATGTGAGTACCATAACTCATTCGTACCAATGACAATGGATGGACGTAGTTAGACCACACGAGATAGTTACGAATGGAATAATCCATCCATCCATCCATCCGTTCGAAGGCCCCTGAATCAGAAGAAGTCGAAGAAGACAAAGAAGAAGAGAAGAAGCGAGGACCCGTTTTGGCAGCACCATGGCTTTTGATTGAACTGGTTCATCGTTTGGGATACACACATATCACCACTACCTGGCAAGGGTGCACGGTCCCGGGCACTCCGGGCAGCGGGCAGACCCAGATGACGGAAACAGCGCCACCCGTCGCTCCCCCTTCGCGGCGAGGAGGTGGTAAAAATAGAGTAGGAAGTAAAGGACCAGGGATGGGGGGTGTTGGTGACGGCGATGGTGAAAATTTGGAAGTGGGGAGTGAGTGACTGCGCAGGAAACGTAGCCGGCAGCGCTGCAGGGAGGCACGCAAGCAGGCAGAGGCACCAGTGGGGATGGAACCAGGGAGGAGGAGGGTCCCAGATGAAGTCACCAAGTCACTCACTCACTCACTCGTCTTGCCCCCTTTCTTCTCAGAATGCTGTAATTGTGAGAATTCCATCTCATCTTGTTTAGATCTCGTGGCTTTGTGCACCGCGCAACATCCAGCATGCAACGCTAACTATCTTACAAATCCAGGCCCTTGTCTCGCAAGGCCCGATTTCGGGGGGCGCAAATGAGAGACGCGGATCGGATTCCGTTTGTGGGTTTATTACGAGAATTGTCAAGTGAGGTAGCAAGGAAAGAAGGAAAGAAGGACATCGTGGTTTGGATTACCTTGCAGGTGGGTTCAGTTGAGAGAGAGAGAGAGAGAGAGAGAGAGAGAGAGGGGGAGAGAGATCACATGCATAGTGCTGTGGCTGGGTAACGACGAGAGCAGGTTATTTTGACGTGACGAGGGACATAAAAGTGCGTACATGGTTGTAAGCAAGTGTCGTAGTGGGGGTAAGGCGGTCACTGTGATGAAAGAAAATTAAGATGGGGTAGACGATGGAGACGGCAAGCTTTGTAAGGAGAAGTATGGGAGGGTTAATGGAAGGTGGAGTATGCAGAATTCTCTTGCGGGAGGAGGTGGTATTGGGAGACGAAGTTTGAGCTAGTTTCGATGTTTTGGTTTGTGTGCCGGGGTTTGAGTGAGGGCATGCAGCATTCTTGAGCTGTTGCATCTGTTGCGGCTGTGTTCTGGAATAGCTACAGGCGCCTAAACAAGCATCGCAGTTTGTGTGGCCACTGGTCATGCTGGGCTTAAGAGTCGGCATCAAGTCCATCATATTCGCAGCCGTCCAGTTTCTTTGGCGTTGGGGGTGCGAAGCTTTTAGATTACTTGCTTCGTTCATTTGCCCAGAGAGAGGGAGAGCGAGAGTGGAAGTGTTGAAATCGGCTCGGTTTGTTTCTAGAACGAGCTTCTCATATCGACATGGTGTAGTTGACTGAGATGGTTAACTGGGTCTTATTTTCCGCTACTGATTTCTTCGGATGTCCAGTTTGAATACTTGATACTGCTTTGAAGCATGTAAAACGCTGATGCGTAGGTTGTACCAGTTTGCTGAAGTTCATCTTTCGAATAATTAGTTTCACTAAAGCAGTCGGTGAAGAGATTCATATTCGAGAGGATGTGAAGTGAGATGAAGGCGCCCGAGTGCCCTCATGTCTCGGCGCAGCTAATTCAACAGAGAATTCTAAAAAACGCACTCCTAAACATAATTGGTGGCAAAATTTTCCTGAAACTGCTCGATTAAGTACATCATAACCTAATCACTGACCACGAGAGTAACTGATTGCAAAGCCTGCGACTTAGCTGGGGTTCTGGGACTTACTTGCGAGTTGTATCTTTCTATGTGTACATGAAAGGTTTCACTTCATCTATGGCTATGCTTAGACAACGTGGATGATTTGTCTGCACGTGTGTGCAGTCTACTGGTCTTTGAAGTTAGTTTCTTCCATTTTGTTTAGGAACGCCAATTGTTGTGCAATGTCAGATTGTGTGTGTTGAGCTTGTGCACAGCTAGCTATGGGGAGCTGACTCCAGAAGTATGTGTGCAGGGAACGTTTAAGGATTAGAAGCAGATTAGAAGCAGGAGTGGTTACAACGGCAAGCAACGATGTATGGGTACGGGGGTGGCATGATGAGGGGCCCAATGATGAACCAGGGGTTGTCCAAAATAGATGATCTGGACTATGAGCTATGGCACGCATGTGCAGGGCCTCTTACGTCTCTGCCTCCAGTAGACAGCCTTGTGATTTACTGGCCACAAGGGCATATTGAGCAGGTGTGTGCTGTTTCCCTCCTCAACGCAGCGATTATGTGTCTTCTTTGTGAGCTACTACAAGTTTTTGCCTTTTTTGCAGGAATGTATGCATGTTTTTTGACCGTCGTTTGTATTCTTCATTCTATGGCAAGGAAGATCAGTTCACGCTGGTCCAGGTTTACATCATTATTAACGAAGCCTGTCTGTGAACTGTCAGGTTATTGCATGTACGCCAGATTCAGCCGGCGCTGCGGATGTCCGAGAAGCATCTAGTCATTTTAAGTTGCCCTCTCATTTGCTTTGCAGGATAGGCCAGCTTGAACTACAAGTAAGTGACACGATCACCGCCTTGGGCACATGCTTCACTTTTCTTTTTCCTTTTATTTATTTAATTTTTTATAATTGCAGTTGGCATGACAAAGTTAATTCATTCAGACATTCTAGAAACTAAACCCTCTAATATGGGGTAACAATTTTCAGTGCAACCAAGAGAATCTTGTTGTTTTAATGAACTCCTTGTTGGTGATTGTGCAGGCCGATCCTAATACTGATGAAGTTTTCGCGCAGATGGATCTTCTTCCTCAAGATGAGGTTTGTATTACTAATAAATCACCCACATACCCGCGCCCACACACCCAGAGAGAGAGAGAGAGAGAGAGAGAGAGAGAGAGAGAGAATTTGTGTGGTACCATAATGTGCACAGCTTTGGGTACTAGTAACGGTTCGCGTGTTTTTACACTCCAGGGTTCGGTGACGAAAGAGATGAAAGAAGCTCCCTCTGCAATCAAGCAGAGCAGCGTTAAGATGTTCTGTAAAACTTTAACAGCTAGTGATACGAGCACCCATGGAGGGTTTTCAGTTCCCAGAAGATCAGCTGAAGACTGCTTGCCTTTACTTGTGAGTGGGTCTGTCCACACTTCAGATCAAGGAATGACATCATAGATTTACGTGGTCATGAGTGGAATGTGTTTCGAGCACTGGCTGGTAGCTTATGCCTGCTTGGACTTCTTGCTTCTGGCTTGCTTCCTTTTCTGGACGGCTTTGGATGACATTCAGTACCTCATGATGCTAGTCTTTACATTTCATGTGTCTTTGCTTGAGAGGTCTTACCTAGTCTTGGATTTGTACGTCTGACTAGAATTTCTTTTTTACTGAATTAGGACTACAATATGAATCCTCCATGTCAAGAATTGGTGGCAAAAGATTTGCACGGACAGGAATGGAAGTTTCGACACATCTATCGAGGTATTGTAATATCAAAGCATTATATGTTGATATTCTATTTAATGCGGATTAACGATATGGATAGTATCCTCGTATGAACTTGACTTTCTTGCGCTTTGGAGACAGTTTTCATCAATCTTTTTTTGCCTCCTCCAGGCTATCCTCGCAGGCACCTTCTCACAACAGGTTGGAGCACCTTTGTTTCTGCAAAGAAGCTAGTTGCTGGAGACACTGTCATATTCCTTCGGTGAGTTTGTATTAGTGCCTCCCATTCTCGCATTCTCACTCTTAAAGTGTTCTGTAGCGGGTGTTCAATGACCTTTGAAACGCCCAATGCCATTAGTGGTTGCATGGTTGTGACCCGGTATTGGTCCGAATGCATCTTTGTGATGAACAGTATATTGCTTCTGTAGCTTAGATTAGATCGCGATTAGTTGGTCTTTCATGTTTCAGAACACTTTTATTTTATTTTATTTTATTTTACTGATTCTAGTTTTGAAAAGGAATGGTGATGTTGCTGCGGACACTGAACTGTTAGTGTTGAGCAGGGGAGAAAACGGTCAGCTCAGAGTTGGAGTACGAAGGGCTTCGAAGCAACAGCCACAAGCACATTCTACCTATTTCTCGAGCACCAACCTGCATCTTGGTGTCTTAGCAGCCGCTTCCCATGCCTCTCGGGAAGGAATGCGATTCAGCGTCATTTATAACCCCAGGTTCTTTGAATGGAGAGGAGTTAGTGATGTGGATTAGCAATAACAGTTCTGCACTATTTGAAGTGGAATCTTAGACTATTCCATTAGTTAAAAGGCTATCTCAGTCGGATCAATGGCCCTCGTACTTTGGATCCTGTTTCATCATTTCCGATGCACGCAACGGTAGCGTTTCCATTTTTATGCGTTCAAATCATGGCCTTTTTCAATTTCAATCCTTATAGATACTACCTTCTTAGTCTTGACATCTGTTGGAAATTAAAGGTTGTCTTGAATGCATGCAGGACCAGTCCATCCGAGTTTGTGATTCCGTATCACAAGTTTTTGAAGGCCATGGACTATAACCTCGCAGTTGGGTCCCGTTTCAGGATGAAGTTTGAATCAGAAGAATCTTCTGGGAGGAGGTGCGATGCTTTCGTTCTCTTACTGCTGGTTGTGTTAATTTCTTCTTTCTGTCTCCCTGATGGGGTGCCAAATGAATAGACTGTCTCAATGTTATTTATGGTCTTTCAGGTACGCTGGCACAATTACCGAAGTAAATGATGCTGATCCTCTGAGATGGCCCAACTCACTGTGGAGATCAATGAAAGTAGAGTGGGACGAAGTTATTTCAGCTAGTGATAGGCACGAAAGGGTTTCACCATGGGAGATCGAGCCATTTGTGCCGATCTCAACTTTGCCCCCTCCTCTAGGGGGGGCGCGGCAGAAGCGTCGCTCACCTACTCTTGTGAAAGATCCCCTTCTGGGTACTTTCATCTGAACTGGGCTGGCATGGGTGTTAACTTTCGAGATGCATGATATATGAGCTCTCTTCATGCCTGTATTGCGCTCATTCTTTCTTGTCTTCTTAATAGGGTTTATGGATTTTAGACTAAACACGCAGGACCTTTAATTCTTTAGATGTGCGACTTATTCTGGCGAACTTGATATGTGCAGGAACCAGCCAAAGTGTGCTAGATTCTTATCAGTCGAATAAACTGTTTAAGGTCCTGCAGGGCTTTGACTCTCGCAATGAATTTAGTATGGAAGATGAAGAGGATGAAGATGTAGTCTGTTCTCGAAATACCTCGTGGAACGTCAAGCCCGAGCCACCACCAAAGACTGTACCCCAGGCAATGCCTGCGCAGCAAAGCTGGTTCCCACGTGCAGATATGCCATCCTTTGGAGTTCCTGTTGCTCCACATCAGCCTCTTATCAGCCCTAGGGTGCCATCTGAGAATATGAATTTGCAGCTGTCTGTAAACCCTGCCAGCTCAGAGCAAGCTCCTGGCAATGATCATTCGTCTGCGTCCTGGTCAGACTTTAGTGGTGGTTGTCTAAACTTCAATTGGCTTTACAATGCATCTACACCTCGTCCAGTTTTTGAGAGAAGCAACCTGCCTACCACCTCGCTTAACAATGAATCGGCATCAAAAATGTTGCCACCACAAGTGATACCACCTTTTGAAGCGAGGGACAAAGTGGAGTTAGTGAAACTGCGTACTACTCCTGCGTTGGTGCAGCCGTGCAAGTTGTTTGGATTTGATCTGGCCGACAAGAAAGTACCTTCCTCTGTGACGTTAGCGCCATCTCATGGTGAGGTCTCTGAAGTAACAGTTGAATTACTTAGAACCGATCTTACGTCTGGAGGCCATCTTGGAAACAAGCTCACAGCTGAAAGTTGCCAGGCGACCCAGGCGCATGTTACTCCGATGAGAAGTGGCATTAAGGTGAGATTGGGGAGTTGCAATCGTCTAGCCCTATCTTTGATTTGTCTTCGTCGGGTGTGACAATTGTAACATTTCATAAGAGCTGTTTTATTTATTTTTTTAATCCCTTGAATGCTGAAAGCAAAGATATTGATTTGCAGGTATATCAACCAGGGAAAGTCGGTCGCACTATCGATCTTAAAAAGTGTGAAAGTTACACTGGTCTGAGGCGAGTGTTGGCAAATCTCTTCAACCTCCAAGGGCAGCTGGATGATGTTACCAAGGGCTGGCAATTGGTGTACACAGACCACGAGAACGATGTTCTTCTCGTCGGAGACGATCCCTGGGAGTAAGTCTATTCAATCATGTGCCTCGAGAATGTTTTTGTTCGATGTAAAACTTTTAAAGCGTGGTGATTCATTAGTTTGCTATTTTGGCGCAGATTCCCGAAATGCCTCTTGATTAGTTTGTGTTTTTGTACAGGGAGTTCTGCGGATGTGTACGGAGTTTGAAGATTTTATCTCCACAAGATGTTGCTGGGCAGAGTGTGGGGAAGTTTCCCACTAGCAGCTGCGAGAATGATGATGGACGACAGTAGCAGCTAATGGAGGTCCGCTTAAGTGACCGCGGCACAACTGTTAATACTGCTGTCCTTTTTATTTTTCCTTTTTTGAAATTTTGACTGCACCCCCCTGAATTACAGTTGATGGCTATGGACGAAGGCGTTTTCTCCTCTTCAGGAGAGTTTTGGACTTACGGAGCCTCTTCTTTGTACAGAACCTAGAACAGGCGGTGATGGGACAATGATGAAAGACGTAGGATTGTATACAGCGGCGGACGAGATTTACGGTTATCTATAGAGCTCTCAGTTCACAAGAGCTGAAAGACACAGTTATCTCAGTTAAATGGTGTGTGCACCGTTGGAGTGCTTAATTCTCCATGCTTTGTGAATGTGGTCCTTGAGGAAGGCAGTCGCTTCTCATCTTCATGGAATGTACATGTGCCGGGTTTAATTGACAGTAGCCATTGTATTTCGTCGTGTTGTTGCTACATGTAGTAGCACGGTAGTTAAGATTGTGGACGAGACAACGCTTGAAGTGCCTTTCAACTAGGCCCTGGAACCGCACGCTTTGAACTAGATATTGTCCTATTCACAGAGTGGTCGTATGCGAGGTGAGCAAGGTATATGTATTACTTTGTATGCCTCTCTAACCGTTGGAATTGAATCAGGGGATTGAATCAAGATGTTGATTTTACACATTCTCCTTCCATTAAGTAAATCTGGATAAAATCAGCCATTGTGGGTGGGGTCACTTGTGTAATTGGAAAGTTCCAAGACTCGCTCCTGGTTTTAATCTAATTTTGTTTTATGATTGCATCATCTGATCATAGAAGTAATCTACTGCATGGTTCCATTTGTTCTGTATGGTATCTTGCATTGACACCGTTTTATCGGAACAAGGATGTAGATTTTGCTTGGTACAAGGGGGCCATACCGGTTCTTTTGCTTGCCAACCACCAGCTGGCCATGATCTGCCAATGGGTGGCTGGCACGTGAGCCTGGTTACCTTTGCACAAGACTCCCTGGTTTTAGTTTTAGTTTATTTATCATTTTGGAGTACATTGAGCACCGTCTTTCATCCAGTAATCTATGTTTTCGTATTGTCTGTGATCCACTTAAGGTCGACGTCCTATTCCATGGAATTAGCAGTTGGTGATTTGGGGCCCTACATTGATAATTCTACTCCGCACCAACTCATTGCTGAAACCTTCCTCGTTGTATTTCCTTTCCTCTTACGTGGAGATGTTGAAACTGATGGATAGGAACGGATGGTTCGCTCTTGTAGCTGAGAGCCAAAAGTGGTTGGATTACAAAGCCCCTCAACTACTCTAAATTTATCATTTGTGATAAAGGAACATACCTGAGGTTTTCACATCTATTGTGATATTTCAAAACATCTTGACAGAGTTACTGTGGACCACAACAATCCCCTAACTACCACATGCAGCCGCCTAAACGCCAGTAGATAAGGGAAACAGTTTTGATTCCATAGGAACTTGTGTAAAGTGGTTGCACGCGAAGGCATATGACTTTTCTCCACGTATTCAAAAGTCCCCAATTGTGCTGTTTTTAGAGATAATCTTCAGTTGATTGTTTAGTTAACAGCAGAGACAGAACATAATGAGTACACTACTTTAGAGCTGTCACAAGTTATTGATCAGGAATTTTCTTGGAACAATTTGTTTACAAAACTTTTATAATGCTCTGACTCATCAGTACAACCTTAAGTAAAGTAAAGAGATAAATGTAGATAGATGAATTAGCATAATTGGATTAAAAAGTTCTTGTAAATCTCTCTGTGGTCCTGGGATACGTTTCTGAAATCAACTCTTGGTACTCGCACCATTGCAAGCCCAGATATCACAGGCTGATAGACGACTTAGGGTTAAAACTGGAGGCAAAGACAGGCAAACTGACTCCTAATGAAAGGGAGCAATACTTGGAATTTCGCAAGTGAACAATGAAAATGTGATCATTGAATTCCTTTTGACAGGTTCTTGATTCGAACGACAATGAGCACCATGTACAGATTATTTGTAATAAATCACGGGAACAGAAGAGAAGTGTCGCCTACCAAAAAACTGCATCGATTGATGATGCCAGACATCCATAAAAATTGGCTACTAGCCTACCTTGCGATATAATGTTACAGTGGCCCGGAAGTGTGGTTTTTTAAGTGCAGATCTCCCTTTAAAATGGAGCTCATAGACCAACCAGGAATACTCGACGTTTTGGGGTAAGTTGTCCCCACTAATTCGTTTAAAAAATTCAGAATCTAACTAAATTTCGTGAGCTTAGACTCCGCCCTCCTTGCGTCTGCTTCACCCACCTTAACACAGGTGAGATTACTGTTGAGTCTGTAAAAATCCTGCAAGGCACTCAAATCGAACCAAATTAATCGCAGTGCAGCCTTTGTGGATACAACTGCTTTTGATTGCTTAGAGGAAATTGCTCCTAAGTTGTGCAAAATATGTTTACCTGTTCTTAGCCTTGTAGTGCTTCAATGTTTTACCCTCCTTATAACTGGCTTCTTTCATAGCATCGCTTCCTTTCAATTCAGAGGGATAACCTGGCCGTCGCCAATACTCTTTCCTCAAAGCTTCCAGAATCTGGTCCTGCACATGAACTCAACCAGTGTCAATCATAAACATGGACAAAACATTCCTAAAACCTTCGCAGAAAGTGTATAATAATTATGTAATCACTGTTGTGGTGCGGAATGTCATAAGTTTACCGTTGGTTGAGAAGCATCGATCCAATGAAACTGTTTCACGTCGCTGTGCTGATCGCTCCGGAACCATTTCAGTTGCTTTTTCACCAGGCTTCTGTAGAAACAAAATAGTTAAAATAAGTTGAAGAAAGTCTCAGTAGTCTGTAGGAGTGGAGAATCGTGACACAACCTGGTTCAAACAAGATTTAAAGGAATATACTCTGAATTTGCTCACACCTTGAGATGTGTTGGAAGCCTGACAGGAATGCCAGGAACCTCTCCTCAGTGGTGTTGCCTCCTGTCCTTCTACAATCCACTAGAAACTCCATTGCCTAGTTTCACAATTGTCATCGGTTAGGTGACTTCAAGCCATTTGTGTGAATGCGACTGTATGGATTCTCATGCGGTCCAATTTATAATTTACTTCAAACGCGTCAACATGACTGTTCCTTGCATTCACGCTTCTGAGAGACTGCACGCTTAAAGGAAGCAGAGGAAATAAAAGCCACGGACTCTGATTGACGAATGATCAGGATGGTAAGTGAAGCCTACTTCCTGGTAGCCGATCCCACGGGATGCGGAACTTGTATCCGGCATCACTCCGATGTCGAGAAGCCATGCAGCCTCTTGTAATAAACCCCGCGGATCTGCATCCACACAATCAAGTCCCGAACCGCACCAGTCAGGTCTACAGTTAATGCACCCAACTAATCCTTATAAAAAAGGAAACAATCAACCGAAGTGGAGCAAATGGAGGCTCCAAATCCTGCAGCCGACCGTACCTACAAGCATATGCTCGCATCGCAGATCGATCCAACGGTAAAGCTCAGCGCGCTGCTGGTAGAGAAAGTAGCACTGGAAATCGTAATTACAGTCCCACTCTGACCCGTCCGTGTGATCAAGCTTGTAGTTGTGAGGGCTTGGAAACACTCCACGGGATTGTCCAGAGACCTGGATTTTCACGGAAAGGTCAGTCCCTCCGGTTGGTGGTTGGTGTTTCCTGATCCATGAAAACTGTGATTGATATAAGGGTGATGAGAAGATAGGTACCAAGATTGCTTGTAGAGCTTGGCCAAAGCGGTGCCAGTCGTTTCGAGCTAAGTTGTACGCAGTGTCAGGATCACCTGCTTGCGCAAGCATGTGCACAGCAAACTCCCAGCCCCTTGAATGGCTAACCAAGCGACGAATCTTGCCTTCAATGGCGGCATTCACTTGTTGAGAAGAGGGATATGATGCTCCAGTTTTTCCGTTCATATACCTGAATTCATTGATAATTGGCAAGGTTAGGAGAGCGAGCTAACGATCTCAATAGGCGTCGCATGTTGCAAATCGGTCACAACAATCTTAGAATGGCGAAAGAACGTGGTGGCACTGTCTGTTGCATTGCGTACCAGCGTAGGTAAGAGCATGTGCCTCCTACAACTATGGGGACGCGGCCGCGGTCGAGCACAAGTTTCGTGGCATCTCTAGCGTCTTTGCAGAATTGGCTGGCTGAGTATTCTGTCCCCATGAGCAAAGAAACATCGGTGAGCGATCACACTCGTCGTGATTCTTTGAGTTCGCAGTCTATTCCATCACTACCTTAATCCTGGAAACAGTTTCCTAAGAAATAGCTGAATAGAGCAATGTGAGAAAATTCCTACTGTCAACCTCGGGGAATGTGCAGTAAACAGGCCTTGTTCACAAACCTTCCGTTGGAGGGACAATATCAACCAGGTGATGCGGGATGCCCTGTACAAGACCGCTACAAAAAATCAAAATTGGTTGCGCATAAAACGACCCAGTCACCTAGCTTCAACTAAGCCGTTAAGTAATCGATCTCCTGTAGCGCACCAATAAAAGCTAAGAGATGAACAATGCAGCTGAATCGTGAGCAAGAATTGAAAGGAGCGATAATAAATTAAAAGTCTGAGAGTCTACTCACCTCCCGTTCATGCAATGGCGTCTTGGCACTTCCGACGTTCAAGCCTTGGTAAACCTGCAATTCAATGACGAAACAACGTTTTACTTGGATGGAACCAAAGCTGAAATCGATTGAACTGTTTCTGACCCTCCCTTCGAAATTTCTTCCAGTAGACAAGACACAGACGCCCCAACTCATCTACTGAGAATCTGTCACCAAATACGTAACAAAAATCCTTCATGATTTGGAAGAATAAAAAGATGCGCGCCGTTGTTATTCAACTTAGCACTAATGGGTTCATGCGCTGGAGTGGATGTTAATCCAACTCTGTCTTGTTGTAACAGTGGAAACCCCCGGTACAAGCAAGAGAGGGATTCAAGATGTTTGAGGTATCCGAGGGGGTTCTTGTAATGACATTCTTGAGGATTAGCCTAATCTTAATTCTCAATAATTAAGCTGAAGTTGCAAGGGCGGCGCAAGCATATTGAATCGGCGCGAAGCTTAATGAAGACTGCGCAGAGGAATAGAAGGGTGTATATATATATATATATATATATATATATGTAACGGAACAAGCTGAATCGAAGTGGCCGCAGGGGGGTCAGACGGTTTAGCAAAAGCAGCTGGTGACACTATTTCTCAACCACAATGCATCCAAATTGAGGATACGTAGCATCTACTTCTTTGTCGGCATGCTCGTAATTGACGAAACCTGTCAGTGATCAATTTAGAAGCCGCTTAATTGCATGAGCGAGTGACAAAACCTCGAGCTTCAGTATCCTGGGCGAGACGTTAAAATGAGACCAGGTCGGACCTGTATCGAGTCCGCACTGATGATTTCCCCGCCAAGCTGCTTGGCCAAGTCTATCGCAACGCGTGACTTGCCGACGGCAGTCGGACCCGCGATGATCACCACGCGACCTTTCTGCGTCCCCAACCCCGTCACCTTGCCGCTGGACCTGCTGTCCACTTTGTCCAGCGTCCCGGCGAATTTCAGGCACGCAAGCTTCGAGGCCCCTCCGCCAGCTTCAGTCAGCAGCCTTGCACTCCAGCCATTCTCGCCGACAGCCACTTTCGCGCGCACCACCACGAGCTCCATCCTCTCAGCCCCACCCCTTTCGACGCTACTGAACCGGTCCTCCCAATGCTGTCGTCCATAATTACCCCCCGCCACTAATTCTCCACTTCTACTGGACAGGCAAGTACATGCTCTTGAAGTCCACATGTAGCTGAATACTTCTTCTTTGGTACCCAATCCCTCAATCCTCCCCGATCCACTCCCCGATCACTTTCCTCACACCACACCAAGATTGCAAATTCTCAACCTCCTTTAAGCCCTCTCACGCCCTCTCATCACTCTGGCACCATGCCGATCGCATCACAACAGAAGAAAGGAACAAAGAAAAAAAGAAGAAAAAGAAGAAGAAGAAGTAGTAGAAGAAGAAGAAACCAAGCACAACTCTCCACCAGCGGGACTTTCAAACATCAACCAGCTCAGCAACGAACTGCGGCGCCGAAGATGCTACTGCAGCGATGGCGACAACGACACGAATTTTGTGGTGACGTAGCCTGAGGTGCACTGCGCCCATGAGTGACCAGCTGCTGCCGCTGCGAGACAGCCAGACAGACAGACGAGAGGAGACGAGGGTGCGTGGGAATGCGAACGATCTGCGTGTGGGCCATTTGCGAGGCCCCTCGGGAGTGCCCTCTCATACATATACTCCTCCCTCCCTCGCCTCACTCCCTCACTCTCCTCACTCCCTTCCTGTCCATGCGGTGTCGCGTCGCTTCCCCTTCACCCGGTCCCGTCCCGGGCACCTTCCGTCCGTCCCCCGCGTCTCGTGGTGGTGCCGCCGGATGCTCCATTGCCTCGTCTTCCACAACCGTCCTTTAGAAATCGGTACGCGAGCTCCTCAGCGCCGCAATCAGTACCCCCCCCCCCCATCACACATCCCAATTTCTTCGCACCCCCTCATTCTTCCTTTCTGCTACTATTTCTCATCCCTCCGCCTCGTCCTTTCTTCAGTCGTTCCTCCTCGGCTATCGAGACTCGTAGCCAGCCTATCGCTCGTCGTCACCTGCGCCGTTGCGTAGGTCACTGTATGCCTTGCACCTGCATCCCGCTTGCCTTTGTCAGGCTCCCCCCTCACGCCCCACCTGCAACAAAATGCCTATTACCCTGGAGCTAACAATATCCCCCCTTTCACTTTCTTTGCAGTGGTGGCATTCCCTGGCCTTCTCTTCCGCTTTCATGAGCAGCAGCCAGCACTGGCACTGCTGCTGCTGGAGATGCTGCTACTGGTGCGAGTCCTGTGCTGTCTCTGTCCCTGGTCTGCGATGCGATGCGCTGTGCAGTCTGAACCTCGCAACGCTGGGCTGGGTTGGATGAGAGTGTGGGGCTGGGGTGGGGTGGGGAGGGGAGGGGGTGTCAGAGCTCCTCCTCCACCCTGTGGCTTCTGCTGCAGCTCATGCTGCTCATGCCTGGCACTATCACTACTAATACTACTGGCAACTACTGCTGCTGCTGCGGTGCTGCTCATGGGTGAGGGTGATGCTTGCTTGCTGGGTATCCCCCCTGGGATTCTGGAATTGTCAAACCCCTTGGGGCGGCTGGCGTCTATATATATGGAGCCAGGGATTAAACACTCCCACCGTGTTGCCTGGTTTTCAATGCCCCCCCCCCCCCAACTCCCCCGTCTTGCCCCGTTCCTTCCTTCGTCGTACCCTATCCTTGTATGGAACCTGCGTGGCTCGCAGTCAGTAACTGGGCCCCATTCCCCTCCCTCGCTCCCTCCTTTTAACTCCCTCCCTCCCTCCTTTTAACTCCCTCCCTCCCTCCTTTAAACTCCCTCCCTCCTTTTAACTCCCTCCCTCCATCTCGCCCTGCATGCAGACTCTCTCTGCACTCGCTTCCTTACAGATACACTGTCGCATGAAGAGTCAATCCCTTCCCTGTTCCATTCCTTTATTTTAATATATATGTATCTGTATACTTACATACTTACATACATTAAATGAATGGATTGATGAATGAATGAATAAATATATATATATATATATATATATATTCCTCTATATGAGAATTGAGGGAAATGTAGCTTTGAATATTCATGCCCATGGTGATTCAATACCCAAGGGAGCTGTGCTTTGGATTTTGGCCTCTGTTAATTGTTGCAGTTGGTGGCTTTTTGTGGAATGTCTTTGTCAGCCTTTTGGTTCTTGATGACATGTGGTTTATTATTATTATGTTGATGATGATTTTTGTGTACTCATGTCAGTTTGGTACAAGACAGTTTTTGTGGTTCTGTGGATGGAAAGGGGAATAAAAAACAAGTTCAAATTCTCTTCTTTGTTGTTTATAGCCTGACATGCGTGAGAGGGTCTTTGTTAATGGGTGGGAAAAAGTTCTTGCCAGGAGAAAGGTTATTTCTAATATTTTTTGTATATGAAATAAACATTTTTTTTTCCTTAAAAAGAGATTGATTTAATTATATATTTATTCTACTAAAGTGTATTGCATCTTTAGTTGCTTTTATAACAGGCATATACATTACTTATGTGGTTGGAAGTGTTCTAATATATTGTAAAATAGACTTCTTACTTAAAAAATTATTAAACATAATAAAGATATATATTTATAATATATTTTTTATAAAAATAATAAATTTTTATCATAGTGACTAGGAAAAAATATAAAATATATATTTTATTTTTATTTTTATGTTTTGCAATATACATAATTAAAATATTTATGCATCTTTTCAAATAACAAAGTATTTTTTTAGTAACTTCTAATATTCTTGAGTAAGTCTAATATATATTTATTAATTTCAGTTAAAACATACAAGATATTCGATCAAGCACATACTATTGCATATATAAGCTTGCTTGTTGCACTTGAGTATAGAATGTTAAATATACTTTCTTTCATCTTTAGTACTACTTAAAAATTGCATTGAATATAATCTAAAAGCATATACTAAAAACATATATATTGAGTTTTATAATATCTAAGTGCATTAATATCATCTCAATATTATCTTATTAGCAACATGCAAAGTTTATATCCTTTATAATTTCTATAGATATTAATACTTAAAAAAAGTAGATTTAATATATATATATATATATATATATATATAATTTGCTTAGTTGTATTTTTAATCTATTAGTATCAAATTTCTTTTTTATTGTTGTATCAAACATATTATTAGTATGTTTGATACTAATACAATAAAATTTGATACTATATTAGTATCAATTATATTATTAAAATCAAACATACTATTAATATATAATATAAGTAATACTAATAGATCAATAGATATTTTTCAATTTTTGATATTAATATAGTATTTTTTTATTTTTTTAAGTCATTCTAAGCTTTGGATTAATATATTTAGATCATTTTTTATTTTTATTTTTGCAAAAAAATATTAAGTATGAATTTCTTTAATTTAAAATTATATTATGTAGTTTTAACTAATAACATCTAAATAAAAATATTCTTTATTTTAAATAAGAGGATCTTGTTAAAATCAGTATCATTCTTTTATGTATATATCTTTGCTAAAAATATGAGCTTGTATCTTCATCTACTTATCTCAAAGAGATGTTTTTTTCTATAGACTTATTTACAACTATTTAATTTTTAATTTTATTTTTTTACATAATTGTGTTAGATTCTATGTCTAATTCTTATAAGAAGTAGCTTGAAAAGTTATAAAAAATAGTATTGTTAATATTGAAATTTATCATCTACTACACTAAATGTTGGTGTAAGTTGCTTATAGTTGGGCAAAGCCACTACTAAAAAATTACTATTAAGCTTAGATAAAGTTTGTATTGATAGCATTAAATATAGCTAGGACTTTTTATAATATTTACTATAATTTAGAGTAAATATTATAGCTAGAGTGTTTGGAATGTAGTAGAGAGAAATTATTTATCTTCTCTTCTTCTCTTTGTATAAGTGAGATAATTACATAAATATGCTTCTTTTGTGTATGTATATGTATATGTTTTTGTACACATTACTTCTAACTACTCTTGTATTTTTCCAAACATTCTCAATACGTTATCAATATAATTTCTTTCATATACTAGTCTTGGTTTTTAAAAGCTTATGTCAACTTTATCTTTTGTTTTTTCCTTGTTTTTAATTTCTATCCTATTGCTAAGCTACTACTATTATTGTACTATATTGATGTATTGTTGTTGTGCTCTTATTACTATTGTGTTGTGTTGCTGCTACTATTATGTTGTGATGTGTCCTATCTTGCTACTATGTTACATTCTACCATGCTATTGTACTACGATTTTATTGTATTATGCCACATCCCACCTATGATTGCCATGCTTTGCTTTCAAACTGTCACGCCTTGCTGCCATCTACTGCAATCCATCATAGATCTTTATTTTTGTATAAATATATATATGTATATATATATATATATATATATATTTCTTCAAGTTTTTTAATATTTTTGATTTCAAGCTTCAACTTTATTATTTTGTTTGGCTTTATATTTTAAGGAGCATTTTATTCAACCTTTTTTACTTGATCTTGTATTTTTTGTTTATAGATTTATTTATAATGAGTTCTTCAATATCTTCAACTATTTCTACTATGTTTTCAACTATCACCATTGCATTTCAATATTTTCAAGCTTTTTTATTTCCACCATTAGCTACTAATAGAAATAATTATCTATTATGGGCAAAAATGGCAAAAATAAATTTATTTGCAAAATAACTCTCAGATGCAATTCTATTTGAAAAATCTCCTACTATAAGTAATTCAATTTTTCTTGCTATTCTTTGGAAAATACTTCTTTTCCTTCATCATCATTTTATACTTGCATTGCAACATCAATATTTAAAAATAAAAGATTTAGCCAAGCTTTGGAAGAATCTTAAATCTACCTTTGATCATCAAAAGACTATTTTCCTTCTATGTGCATGTCATAATTCGACTTATTTATGTGTTTTAGATTTTTTAAATTTAAATGCTTTTAACAGTGAAATGTATCATATTATCTTACAACTATGGTTATACAGACAAAGCAACTCTGAAGAAGAAATGATTGAAAAAACTCTCTCTACATTTCCTTCCACATTTATTGTACTTACACAACAATATAGAAACATGAAATTTTAAAATCATCCTAATTTCATGTCCTATCTATTTCTTGTAGAGAAATAAAATAAGCTACTCTTACATAATGCGGAAGCTCATTCTATTGGAATTATGGTTCCATAATCTCATGTACTTAATAATTTAAATTCTAAAAAATAATTATACAAATATGAAAAAAGTGTTCATAACCACTAGGTCAGTCATGGTCATGACTATTTCTATCCATATAAAAAGAATAAACATTCTACAACTAATTACAGTGAAAAATAAAAATCAAAGTTAGGTTCTTGCGATAAATATGGGATGATTGAATATTTAAGATATTTGTGCCATATTTTAGAATACTTTGTTAAAATATTCCAAAAAAATAAGAAATTTCAAGCTGAGGCTTGTAAAGTTCATACCATGGATGTGTCCATGGATTTAATTAGTGTTGATGATTTAGAAGCTTATATGAATGACAAAACCTCTAATGATGAGTCAAATGATGTATTCATTGATTTTGCAACAACACATACTATCTTGTGGAATAGATAGTTATTTATTGAAAAATCTTCAACTTGGCAAACTAGAAATTTAATAACTGTGGTTGGAACAAATGGATTTTATTTACAAGAGGGAACAGTGATGGTAAAATTACGTACAAGTTTCATCTTAAAATATAAACATGCAATGTTTGTATCTTTAGTACCTTAGAAAGTTTGATTAGCCACCAAGATGTGCGTACCAATGGTTATCACCTTTCAATTGCAATTCTAAATAGGCGGGAGATTTTGGTTCTTGCATGGA